AAAACCAGCTTGGCCAACATGTTGAAACCCTGTCTCTATTAAAAATGTAAAGAAAATTAGCAGGAACCGGGCGTGGTGGCTCACTCCTGTAATCCCAGCACTTCAGGAGGCTGAGGCAGGCAGATCATTTGATGCCAGGAGTTTGAGACCAGCCTGGCCAAAATGGTGAAACCCCGTCTCTACTGAAAATACAAAAATTAGCTGGGCGTGATGGCGGGTGCCTGTAATCTCAGCTACTCGGGAGGCTGAAGCAGAAGAATGGCATGAACCTGGAAGGTGGAGGTTGCAGTGAGCCCAGATTGTGCCACCGCACTCCAGCCTGGGAGACAAGAGTGAGACTCCGCCCCCCCAAAAAAAGATTACCTGGGTGTGGTGGTGGGTGCCTGTAATCTCAGCTACTCAGGAGGCTCAAGCAAGAGAATCGCTTGAACCCAGGAGCCGGAGGTTGCAGTGAGCTGAGATCACGCCATTGCACTCCAGCCTGGGCAACAGCAGCTAAACTCAGTCTCAAAACAACAACAACAACAACAACAACAACAACAACACATTATCAGTAAAGGTAAACCTATAAGGGAAAAATGGACTTGACAATATAAGAATTAAAATTTTGATTAGCTGGGCATGGTGGCGTGTGCCCATAGTCCCAGCTACTCAGGAGACTGAGACAAGGAGGGTTGCTTGAGCCTGGGAGGTCAAGGCTGCGGTGAGCCATAATCATCACTGCACTTCAGCCTGGGCAACAGAGCAAGACCTTGTCTCAAGAAAAAAAAATTAAAATTTTGATATGGTAAGAAAATATAAACCATATAAAAGAAATATGTGGAAAATATATACAATGCATAGTATTTGAAAAACTGATATATTATCTTTAAAGATTTTTTTTACAACACAGTAATTAAAATAATACTGCAGTTGTAAAATCAGCAAGGAACATGAACAACAAAGAAATATATCTTTCTAATAAATGTGAAAAAGTTTCAACTTTACTGAAAATAAAAGTTTCAACTTAAAACAAGTGATATTTTTTCCTAGCACTTAGGAGAAAGTTTTTTTAAAGACCTATGTGGCAAGGATTTGGGAAAATGGACACTCTCCTAACTGCTAATGGATCTCTATATTGGTATGTTTTTCTGGAGGACAAGTTGGCTATATTAAAAAAAACTTACATTAAAAAAAATCCCATTTTACTTAGCAATATGTTTTTCTGGGAATATACTTAGAGAAATAAATAGGGATGTGATTAATATTTGGCTGTAAGTATGCTCATCTTAGTGTTTTTTAGTAGTAAAAAATTGTAAGCAATCCAAACACCCAAAAATTGCATATTCATTTTAAAAAGAAGCCGGGCACAGTGGCTCATGCCTGTAATCCCAGCACTTTGGGAGGCTGAGGCAGGCAGATCACCTGAGGTCAGGAATTCGTGACCAGCCTGGCCAACCTGACGAAACCTGTCTCTACTAAAAATACAAAAATTAGCTGGGCATCGTGGCAGGTTCCTGTAATCCCAGCTACTCTGGAAGCTGAGGCATGAGAATCACTTGAATCCAGGAGGTAGAGGTTGCAGTGAGCACCTGGGGGACAGAGCGTGACTCTGTCTCCAAAAAAAAAAAAAATTTTAAAAGAAAAAAGATTTCGGTTTCTTCATACAGTGAACACTATTCAGCCATTAAAAATGATTTTGTCAATCTTTAATAACATGGCAATATGTTTTTGAGATAATATTAGGTTTAAAACATAGAAATTAAGCTAAACATCAATAAAGTGGTTATTTTTGGTGATGGATTTTTTTCATTAAAAATATTTTCAATAGAAATGTTTTTTGTTATTGTTATTTTTAAAATAAGAGATGGGGTTTCGTCATGTTGCCCGGGCTGGTCTCAAACTCCTGAGCTCAAGCGATCCATCCATCTTGGCCTTCCAAAGTGTTGGGATTATAGGCATGAGCAACCACGCCTGGCCAAGAAATGTATTTTTATAATTAAAAAATAGTTACTGGGAATCACCATAGAATAAATCCATAATGTAATCCCTAGTCATCTCTACTTTCCCATACACAGCATTCCTAACACCGCTTCTCAGAGGGCACCATCCGCTCACATGCCTGTGTACCATTGCTTACCCCTGGCCACTTAGGTAGTTCCTGCTCATCTTTTATTCAGTTCAAATGATAACATCATGAAGTCCTTCCCAACCACCCTCTTTGCTTATTCCACACAATTATTTTGTGTAATTATGTAGTTACATTGTCTTTTCTGCTAGGCAGTGAACTCCTCTTTTGTTTATTTTATAAGTATTTGTTGAGTGCGTATGTGTCTGGCACCATGTGTATTGTATACTGCAGATCTAACCATGATCCGAGGCGGACAGGTTCCTTCTGCCTTCAAGGAGTTTATAGTAAAGTTTCTTACAGTATAATTTTTTTTTTTTTTTTTTGAGACGGAGTCTCACTGTGTCTCCCAGGCTGGAGTGCAGTGGCGGGATCTCGGCTCACTGCAAGCTCTGCCTCGCGGGTTCACGCCATTCTCCCGCCTCAGCCTCCGAGTAGCTGGGACTACAGGCGCCCGCCACCACGCCCGGCTAGTTTTCTGTTTTTAGTAGAGATGGGGTTTCACCATGTTAGCCAGGATGGTCTCGATCTCCTGACCTCGTGATCCACCCGCCTCGGCCTCCCAAAGTGCTGGGATTACAGGCTTGAGCCACTGCGCCCGGCCTTTTTTTTTTTTTTTTTTTTTGAGACGGAGTCTCGCCCTGTTGCCCAGGCAGGAGTGCAGTGGTGCCATCTGGGCTCACTGCAAGCTCTGCCTCCTGGGTTCACGCCATTCTCCTGCCTCAGGCTCCCAGTGGCTGGGATTACAGGTGCTCACCACCACGCCTGGCTAATTTTTTGTATTTTTAGTAGAGACGGGGTTTCACCAACAGTATAATATTAAGTATTATGATAGAAGCTCCCAGAATGCTTTGGGAGCTCAGAGAATTGGTAAGTCTACCAGGCTGGTTAAACAGGAAAGGCTTCCTGGAGGGGATAACAGCTGAATACAGTTATATTCCACATAACAACGTTTCAGTGAGTGACATCATATGCAACAGTGGTTCCAGAAGATCATAATGGAGCTGAAAAATTCCTATTGCCTAATACTTACTGTGTTATACTTTTTATTGTTATTTTAGAATGTACTCCTACTTAAAAAAAAAAAAAAAAGTAAACTGTAAAACAGCCTTAGGGAGGTTCTTCAGGAGGTATTCCAGAAGAAGCCATTGTTATCAGGAGATGACAGCTCTGTTCCTGTTATTGCCCAGTGGGGCAAGATGTGGAGGTGGAAGACAGTGATAACTGATGATTTTTACCCTGTGTAGGACTAGGCTAATGTGTGTCTTTGTTTTTAACAAAAAAGTTTAAAAAGTAAACATTTTAATAGAAAAAAGTTTATAAAATAAGGATATAAAGAAAAACATAGTTTTGTACAGTTGTACAATGTGTTTGTGTTTAAGCTGTTATTACAAAAGAGTCAAAAGTTTAAAAAATTAAAAATTCATTAAGTAAAAAAGTTATAGTAATCTAAGGTTAATTTATTACTGAAGAAAAAGTTTTAAATTAATTTAGTGTAGCCTAAGTGTACAGTGTTTATAATGTCTACAGTAATGGACAGCAATGCCCTAGGCCTTCACACTGACTCACCCCTCACTCACTGACCCACCCAGAGCAACTCCTACTCCTGCAAGCTCCATTCATGGTAAGTGCCCTATACAGGTGTAACATTTTAAATCTTTTATACAGTACTTTTACTGTATTTTTTTCTATCTTTCAATATACAAATCCTTACAATTGTGTTACAGTTGCCTACAGTATTTAGCACGGTAACATGCTGTGCACATTTGTAGCCTATGAGTGATAGGCTACATACCATATATACCATATAACCTCAGTGTGTACCATCTAGGTTTGTTTTAGTTCATTCTATGATGTTCACACAACAACAAAATCACCTAAGGACACATTTCTCAGAATGTATTCCATCATTAAGTGACACATGATGGTATTAAAAAGAAAGCAAGAATTAGCCACATCCAGGGGCAGGAGGAAGGTTGTTTCAGGTAGCAGAAACAACCTGTGTAAACGCCTGGTATTTGAAAACCATGATCAACTTTAGGAAAGTCGTTATGGTATTTGTGGATATTGAGGTTGATTTCTGACAATTATATGTAAATTTATCTTGGAAGAAGCACCAGAATTCATTTCTTCGGTAAGAGATTAGGATAACAGCATGTATTACAGAAAGCATCCTAATGTTAAACAAAAATTCAAGTGTGAATAGTAGTTTATTTTTTAAGCATTTGTATTAAATATATTCTCACTAAGGATTGAGAAGTTAGTGTAAAATAATAAAAAGTCTGAATTATATAGTATTTTAAGTCTTATTTTGTAATCTTGACTGGTCCTAATAAAATGTTGCTAAAAAATTATGTGGGAAATACCTTTGAGTTAAAAGATTTTTAAAAATGGCAATGTTTACATCAATTTTTGTGTGTAAATGTGTTCTAAATAGAAAAAGATGTTCCTTGTAGCACAGCAAATATTTCTCATGATTTTGATTACATGTAATGCGTCCCTCTCGGCAATCAAGTCTTCAAAACTTCCTCTATCTCCTATTAAATTCTCTCTCATCATTTTTGTTTCCTATAGAGATTCTGAAGTTCTTTTTTTCCCTTCTGTCACTGTTTTCCAAACACTTACCCCTATTTCCAATTTCAAATAAAAATCAGTAATTTAAAGCAAATGGATCCAATTGCAATGTGACTGTCATTAAATCATAGTATCCTGGCTCTGTGATTATGCAAAGTATACTTTTTATAGTATATCAGAGTCATTGGGTTTATATAGTGAGTGTGTAGTCCTTTTTTTCTTTCTTTCTTGACTAGGTAATATAGTGACTGTTTCTGAAATCAATTTTCCTTTAAAAAGAGATTAAATGAACCAGGGTTTTGTTTTTCTGCTTTTATAGATTTCTTGATAACCGGCTGTTTGCTACCTGCTCTGATGACACTACAATAGCACTATGGGATCTGAGAAAATTGAACACCAAAGTATGCACTTTACATGGTCACACTAGCTGGGTGAAGAACATCGAATACGATACTAATACAAGACTCTTAGTAACATCAGGATTTGATGGAAATGTCATTATTTGGGACACTAACAGGTTTGTGAATAGGAGACCATGTTAGGATTATGAACAAAAACATTTTTTTAAAGATGGTGAACAAATTCAGTGTTCTGTCCTAGCCTCAAGAAAGAAACTGGCTTTAGGTAAAACAACCAAAAAGTGATGATATCATTAATTGTACTTATATATTGCAACTGAAAATTTTAGGAGAAAATGATACAGGAAGGAGACCAAGTAGTATAGTTAGTGATGAAAACTGGCTTATAAAAAGAGTTTCCTGAATTTAAGGAAAAATATTTTTGTTATTTCTCCTGCGAAACTAAACTGTTTCTCACTTTTTCTTCCTTCAATTCTACATATATTTATTTTGCAATTTTTGTTCTTTTGTTTTCATGCATTAAAAGAGTAGTTCTCATTTGGAGTGGTACTGATCTCAAAGGGAGTGTTTAGAAATAAAGCGTGGGGCAGTTTTGGTTGTCACTACGGGGGAAGACAGCTATCTACTAGCATTTAGTCAGCAAGGACCAGAGTTTCTAAACATCCTGCAGTACACAGGTCAGTGTGCAGAGTGGACTAGTTGTCCCACCTAAAATGCCAGTTATGCCTCTGTTGTGAAACATTCCAACAAAATGTCTCCTTTTAAAGAAATTGATACTTACAGAGTTGAAGTTTGAAAAATAATTGAAACATGCCTGCTTTGCTAGCCATGGTGAAATGATAATACAGTAAACACACCATGATCATTTCTGTGTGTATTTGTTTTTGTTGTTCTGAGACAGGGTCTTGCATTGTCACCCAGGCTGTAGTGCAGTGGTGCAGTCACAGCTCATTGCAGCCTGGATCTCCTAGGCTTAAGTGATCCTCCTGCCTCAGACTCCTGAGTAGCTTGGACTATAGGCATGTGCCACCATGCCCACCTAATTTTTTAATTTTTGTAGAGACGGGGTCTCCCTATGCTGCCCAGGCTAGTCTTGAACTCCTGGGCTCTAGTGATCCTCCTGCCTCAGCTCCCAAAGTACAAGGATTACAGGCATGAGCCACTGTGTGTGGCCATCATTTTTGGAGTATTCTTTTTAGAGGTCATATGTAAAAAGAGAGGGGCTATTCTTAGAGATTTGTAGCTACCCATACTCTTGAGTGGAAGACAAAACTATTGGTTATCTTTAGACAAAGACAAGCATACCTACTAAATGAATGTGTTTACTAAAATTTAGAAATAAAATTTGAATAGAAATATAAATGATAACTTCCAAATTAGTAGAGGGTAAAAAACTAATAAAACATGATGAATCCCATAGAAGCAGAGAAGGGAAGGAAAAAAGAGAATTATTTAAAAGAAAAGATAAATTAAGAAGCACAAAACTAGTCATATACTGCAACTAAAAATGTTGGAGAAAATTATACAGGAAGGAGACCAAGTTGTATAGTTCATGATGAAAACTGGCTTATAAAATAAATTTCCTTAATTTCAGGAAAAATATTTTTTGTTATTTCACAAAGCATAAAACTGGTAGGCAGATAACCTAAGCTTCAATCCAAATATTAATAATTGTGATAAACGTATATGGACTAAACTGTCCAGTTAAAAATAGACAGTGTTAGATTAGATTAAAAATAAAACAGAGCTGTATTTTCTTTGTAAGGGACACAGTTAAAACATACAAACCCAGAAAAGTTGAAAGTAAAAGGATGAGAAAAAACAAACAGAATTATACATCAAAGACAAAACAGTTGTAGCTACATTAATAGCAGACAAAATAAAGTTTAAGGCAAAAAGCATTATTGATAAAAAGGTACTATAACAAAAGGTTAATTTCACTAAAATATAAAAGCTTGTATGCACCTAAAAACATAGCATAAAAATATAAAAAGCAAAAGTGGAGAGAATTACAAGAAAGAAGTGAGAAATCTCCATCTCAGTGGAAAATATTAACAGCATTCTCTCATTTACTAATAGATAAGATAGACAAAAATGGGCCAGGTGTGGTGGCTCACGCCTGTAATCCCAGCACTTTGGGAGGCTGAGGTGGGCGGATGACGTGAGGTCAGGAGACCAGCCTGGCCAACATGGTGAAACTCTGTCTGTACTAAGAATACAAAATTTAGGCCAGGTGTGGTGGCTCACACCTGTAATCCCAGCACTTTGGAAGGCCAAGGTGGGTGGATCACCTGAGGTCAGGAGTTCGAGACCAGCCTGGCCAGCATGGCAAAACCCCATCTCTACTAAACATATAAAAAAAGCCAGGCGTGGTGGCTGGCGCCTGTAATCCCAGCTACTTGGGAGGCTGAGGCAGGAGAATCACTTGAATTCAAGAGGTGGAGGTTGCAGTGAGCCGAGATTGCACCACTGTACTCTAGCCTGGGCCACAGAGTGAGACTCCGTCTCAAAACAATAACAACAACAACAACAAAAAATATAACACAAAAATTAGCAGGGCCTAGTGGCACACGTCTGTAATCCCAGCTACTTGGGAGACTGAGGCAGGAGAATCGCTTGAACCTGGGAGGCGGAGGTTGCAGTGAGGCAGCCTGGGTGACAGAGTGAGATTCTGTCTAAACAATAACAACAACAAACAAAGAAAAATGGATAAGGCTGTGGAAGATTTAAATATTATTAATAAGCTTGATGTATTACACATATTTAGAATTCCGCTCCCAACAACTAGTAAAAATATCCTCTGAAGCAAACTTAGAACAGGTACAAAAATTGAGCATGTCCTGAACTACAAAGTAGGTTTCAGCTGGTACCAAAGAACTATTATTATACAAACCATTTTCCCTGTTCTTAGTATCATTTAGTTATTAATTAAAAATTCTCATGTTTAGAGACTTATAAACTCGCTTTTAAATAATTTATGAATCAAAGAAGAAATCATACTGAAGATAGGTTGAAAACTGATGAACTAAGCATCTTCCTCAAAAAACTGGAAAAAAGTAAAAGGATAAATCCAATGAAAGTAGATGTATGGAAATGATAAGTGTAAAAGCACAAAACTGATGATGTTAAAAATGAAAATATAATAGAGGATTTTTTAAAGCCTGCTCTTTTAAAAAAGCTAATTGAATAGGCAATTCTCTGGCAAGATTCATCAAGAAAAAAAAGACAAAAATAACTAATATCAGCAACAAAAAAGGAGACAACAGTATAGAATAAGACGATAGATGAGCTTTATTCCCTATATACTTGAAAACTTTGATGAAATAGGCAGTTTACTAAAAAATACACCTTAGCAAAACTGGCAAAGGAAGAAATAGAAAACCTGAAATACACCTATTACTAGGACTAATATTTAGCCAATATGTACTGGTTCAGCTGAAGCACTGTTAAAAGATTGAACTTCTTCCATACTAATTCGTAAATAGGCAGTGCCCTGAGTTACCCTCTGACACCCTCTGACTACCCAGGCCCCTCTTCTAGAGATACCTCCCTCAAAACCTTCCCATGATTCAGTAGCAAAAGCTCCCGTTACACAATATGGCGATTCCAGGACCCTGTTCCAGCACAGCCATCTGCATCTATTCTGACTGGCAAGTGTTTGTGCAGTGCTTGTTATTTAAATATTCTGAATATCACCTCTGCCACAGCCATTAAAGAAATGGAAAAAATGAATTAAAACCTACCTACAGTACTAATAAAAGAGCAGTTCTGTACATTTTACAGGTGACTTCTACTGCAAATAAGAGAACATTCTAATTTTATTAAACTGATCAGATTATTGAAAAAGGGAATTCTTACATCATGTATAAAACTAGTATGACCATGATACTTGAACTTAACAAAGATAATATTTTAAAAAAAGAAAGGCAAATCTGCAATATGAATGTAAACACAAATATTCTAAATGCAAGGAAATTGAACCCTACATTATAGAAAATATCATGACCAAGTCGGGCTTACTCAAGGAATGAAAAGATGGTTTATCAATAGAAACTGTATTAATATAATTATCCCCATTAACAGATAAAATGGGTAAATTTGTATGATTGTTTCAAATGAGGAATAAAATTCAACATTCAGTCATAATTAAAAACAAGAGCGGAGACATCATAACCAACCTTACAAAAATTAAAAGGATTAATAAGGAGTACTATGAGCAACTTTATAGCAACAAATTAGGCAACATAGATGAACAGGTAGACACCTAGGTAGTCACAAATTACTGAAACTGACTTAAGATAAATAGAAAATCTATAGACTTATAGACCTACAGCAAGTAAAGAGATCAAATTGGTAAATTTTTTTTATTTTTTTAAGATGGAGTCATTGCAACCTCTGCTTCCCGGGTTCAAGTGATCCTCCTGCCTCAGCTGGGATTAAAGGCGTCCGCCACCACCCCGGCTAACTTTTGTATTTTTACAAAAGTTAGAGACAGGGTTTCACCATGTTGGTCAGGCTGGTCTCAAACTCCTGACCTCAGTGATCTGCGTCCGCCACCACCCCGGCTAACTTTTGTATTTTTACAAAAGTTAGAGACAGGGTTTCACCATGTTGGTCAGGCTGGTCTCAAACTCCTGACCTCAGTGATCTGCCCGCCTTCGCCTCCCAAAGTGCTGAAACTACAGGTGTGAGCCACTGTGACTGGCCTGAATTGGTAATTTAAAAATACTCCCACAGTGAAAAGCCCAGAATCAAATGGCTTCACTGATTAATTCTATCAAATATTTACATAGTAAATAATAACAATCCTTCACAAACTCTTCCAGAACATAGAGGAGACAGGATACTTTCCAACTCATTCTTTGAGTCTAGTATTATCCTGATACTAAAACCAGACGGATACCATATGAATAGAAACTACAGGGCTGGGTGTGGTGGCTCATGCTTGTAATCCTAGCATTTTGAGAGGCCAAGGCAGGCTGATCACTTGAGGTCAGGAGTTCAAGACCAGCCTGGCCAACATGGTGAAACCCCATCTCTACTAAAAATACAAAAATTAGCCGGGTGTGGTGGTGCATGCCTGTAATCCCAGCTACTCGAGAGGCTGAGGCAGGAGAATCCCGTGAACCCAGAAGGTGGAAGTTGCAGTGAGCCAAAA